GGCGGCTTGGGGCTCCGCAAACGCCAAGAAGGGTCCCCCTTTTCATTTCGGTAGCCTTGGCATTGCCTTACATTTCGACCACAGTTAGGCTTGGCCCGGAGCCAGAGGCCAAGGAGGGTCCCCCTTTTCATTTCTACATTTGGACCGGGAGCCAAAGGCAAGCAGGGTCCCACTTTCTGGAGCCTTGGAGCCAAAGCCAGCTTGGAGCCTTGCCTTGCGAGCCTTGGAGCCTTGCTTGGCCCCTTCATTTTGACCACAGTTAGGCTTGGCCCGGAGCCAGAGGCCAAGGAGGGTCCTCCTTTTCATTTCTTGGAGCCTTGGAGCCTGGGAGCCTTGCTTTACATTTGGACCGGTAGCCAAAGGCAAGCAGGGTCCCACTTTCTGGAGCCTTGGAGCGTTTTGGCGCAAAGCCAGCTTGGAGCCTTGCCTTGCGAGCCTTGGAGCCTTGCTTGGCACCCTTTCGTCATGTTGACCACAGTTAGGCTTGGCCCGGAGCCAGAGGCCAAGGAGGGTCCCCTTTTTCATTTCTTGGAGCCTTGCAGCCTGGGAGCCTTGCTTTAGAGCCAAAGGCAAGCAGGGTCCCACTTTCTGGCCAAAGCCAGCTTGGAGCCTTGCCTTGCGAGCCTTGGAGCCTTGCTTGGCCCCCTTCATTTTGACCACAGTTAGGCTTGGCCCGGAGCCAGAGGCCAAGGAGGGTGCCCCTTTCATTTTGACCACAGTTAGGCTTGGCCCGGAGCCAGAGGCCAAGGAGGGTCCCCCTTTCATTTTGACCACAGTTAGGCTTGGCACGGTGCCAGAGGCCAAGGAGGGTCCCCCTTTCATTTTGACCACAGTTAGGCTTGGCCCGGAGCCAGAGGCCACGGAGGGTCCCCCGTTGAAGAAAAAACATTTCGACCACAGTTAGGCTTGGCCGGGCGCCAGAGGCAGGGTCCCCCTTTTCATTTCACAGCCTTGGAGCCTTGGAGCCTGCATCTTGACTCTCTTTCGCTGAAAGAGGGTCTCATTCTAGTCAGGTTCTTCACTCAGCATGCCTGGTCGTACCGAGCTGTCTGCAGCGAGGCAGATTCAAGGCCAGAAGCAGTAGAACACAAACGTACATGAGGGCAGGGTGCTTTGAAACTAAACCTTGTGGCCTTGACGACGATGGGTCGATGTCGATGCGGTCCCTCGCAGCATCGAATCATCCTGGCGACAGCCAAGATCCGCTGTCAAATTAATTAAACTTGACTGTCCAACGCAGCACGGGTCCTGACAGCTTCCTTGGCGCTGCGGCCGTGGCCCACGCTTGCCCATCTCCCTGCCTGCAAAGAACGACATGTGAACCAGGTTACATGTGGAATTTGGGTGCGTTCACATGACTCACGACACTGGCCTCTGCTTTTTCGGACAACCCCCGCGCTGAGAGTTAAAATAATTGAATTAGGGATCCCAGCCAGTCTTGCGCCAGACCTTGGAGCCTGGGAACCTGGTAGCCGCGACACGCCCTGCAAACAGCTTGTCACGACGCACGTCACCACTTCGGCAAGATGCAACGCACGGCACTGTGCGGAATCGGTTACAACGAGGAAACTCACTGCATCTCACATTGCATGCAATCTTGCCACCATGCTCGGATATGCTGCTAACTGAACACACGAAGGCTATGAAAGTCACACCCTACTAACTAACCCTGAAACCCTTTAACCGACTCTAAACACACGTTAAACCATACGAGCCATCATCAAATAAAAATGGAGGCTCAGTCGAGTCATTTCTGATTCAGACAGAGCTCCCGCCACCGCCGCTTTCCGGGGTCTGGAGCACAGCCGACCAACACAAACAGCCCCCATTTACCGGCTCGAAGCACCTTTGTGCAGCACGTGTGACTTGCAGCGGGGCAATTGGCTAAGTCGCTGCGTGGTTTCCACAGCTCGGGCCACTGCTTGCACCACGCTCTCAGTCCGGCCTCCCCCTTGGGCATGAAGGGATTCCCGGTCTCCACCTCAAACACCACGCAAGCATAGGCCCACATATCCACAGCTGCAGTCAGCAGCTGCTTTCTGACACCGCAGTCTCCATCGCCATTCACACGAGCGGGCCACAGCTCCGGAGGTCGATAGGCAGCCGTGACATACTGCAGGAACCTGGGAGCCTGAGAAGCCTTCTGGAGCCGTGCCATGTTCTCACTCATGCCGAAGTCGCACACCTGCACCTGATCTGTGCAAGGGCACCAAAGAACATTGCCAGGTTTCACATCCAAGTGTAGGATGCCTGCGTCATGCAAGGTCTGCAGTGCACTTCTCAGCTGAGCTGCCACAGACCACGTCCTCGGCTTGCCATGCGCCGCAGGATTTCGAAGTGCGGTTGCCAGGCTGGGCCCACATAGGCTAGTAGCCATCCATGGCCAAGGTCTGCCCGTGACACCCGAGCTGACAAGAAGCGGGAACCACATCATCTTCTGCTGCGGAACGGCCTTCATTAGAAGCTTCATCTGCTCCACTTCGTGCCTGCAATCCGCGTGGCCATCGGAGCCACGATAAACCTTCACCGCCACGTTAAGGCCGCTTTGCGGATGCTGGCAACTGTAGACACTGCCATAGGCTCCGCCTCCAATTGGAGCCCTTGCACCATTAAGCTCAAATGGGCCAACGCGACCGCCAGATTCGTCAGCGGCAGGGGGGTCCTTCGCCTCGTCGGGGCCGCCCGCACTGGTCGTGGAGCCCCGCATCCTGATGCCAAGAACGGCCAGTGCACTTCGCTGAGCCATGAACTCATCTTTGCTCCTCGCCATGAATGGTGCCTTCTGCTTGTCGGTCATGCCCTGCCAGACTGCGCCAAGATGCTTCATCTCATTGAGAAACTCGTGCTTGGGAGCGCCTTTCTTGACTTCGGCGTTTTCCTGGAACCAGATGACGAAGGCCCTTCGAGCCTTGGGGACCAAGCCGTCTTTCACAGCCTGCTTCCGCAAGCTCTGCGATTTGCTGCCACCATGCTGGCACCCCCGGCGCATCCGACGAGAAGCCGTCTTGAGACTGGTTTTGCCCCAGAGGCGTCTGGTAGGCCTCCATCGGCAGCCCATGTCGAACCCAAGCAGGGAACCTCAGAGCCTGGGAACCGGGGGCCATAACGGCTCGCTTTAATGCATTCAGGCGACTACAACAACATCCTCGGCGAGTCCTATTTCAATGTCATGCCACAATAAGAGCATTTCGGCTTTTTCAGGCGACAGTAGTCACTGCTACACACTACTGACAAAACTGAGCCCGGCAAAAGGTCAAGAGCCTGAGAACCTGGGAGCCTAGGTGCCTGAGCTGGTGCCTGAGCTGGCGGATTCGGTCGAAGTGAAACATCATCACTGCGGTTGATCGCGGGGGCTATCTGGCTCAGCAGGTGCCTCGTCCTGGTCGTCTTGGTTGGACAAGCTCTCCAGAACGTGCGGGAAATGCTTCTTCACCGCCTTGGCATTCTCGTCCGAGTAAAGAGTGGATCCCTCCAAAGCCATCATTCCGCAAGCTGCGCGATCAGCAACCGCCTGGACCCACGACATGTGCTCCTTGTTGAGGCCTCGGATAATTTAAATAAAATCAAATGACAATGATCTGACGAATCTACTGGACAAGTAAGGGTGCTGCAAAGCCCGTGGTATGCGATGCCGGCAGTCAAAGAAGCCTCCATCAGAGCACCGGTGCCAGCCGTGAGGTCAAACACTGCCTCCGCGCAAAACTCCTCAATGATGGCATTCCAATATGCTATCGGCTTCGACTCGTTCCAGAACAAGGGTACGTCGGATCCGTGGCGATCCTGCCAGTCCTCTGGCGGTGTCGGGAGGTCGCCGGTTGTTGCCGGAGCAATGATCTTCTTCTTGGTGTCTGCAGACACGAGGGGCATTTCAGAAACCGCCCGGTACTCCACGCCTGAGTAAGTGCCTTGGTACGTAGAAGCCTCGCCGCAGACTGTGAAGGAGCCTTTCTTCGTCGTCTGAATCTTGGTGCGTGCGACCGGGAACTTAACCGCTCCTGTCTCCACCTTCTTTGCAGCCAGCGGAGCGCGGCGAGTGCGACCAGTTCTCGGCGGGCACCCACCTGAGTACACGATGGTGCACTCCTCGGTGTGCTGCTGGTTCAGCAGGAGGTCTTCCTTAAAGAACCAGGTGCAGCCTTTGAGCCTTGGAGCCTGGGAGCCTTGTCACATCCCCCCGCCAAGACTCGGACACGCGGCGAATTTCCCGCATTCTGCCGTCGAAGAGTACGACGAAATCCTCGGGCCCAGAAATGTCTTTGGCAAAGGCACAGATCTCTTTCCATTCCTCGCTTGGCGGAGTGCCCTTGAGCCACGGGTCGGTACCAGCCTCTGCCAAGAGATCCGCACTGGCAACGATCAGGCGGTGCGAAGAGTTTAAGGTGCCCTTGTGCGTGAAGACCTTGCCGCAACCTCTGAACGCATTGACTAGGCAGTCCTTCGAGATCTTGTTCGGTACCGAGAACGACACGAACTTGCGGCGTTCCGTTTGCACCGCCTTCCACTGCCGCTCACGCTCGACACATTCCTCGTGTGTGTCAGCTTCAGAAGCCTTGGCCAGGCTTTGGAGCAAACTCGGAGCAGGAGCCGCAGATGTGGCACCAACGGACTTCGTGCTGTTGTCGAACTTGTCGACAATGATCTTCATCTGAGTGATAAGCGCACATGGCTCCTCGTGCTCCGTGTCATCCGAGCTTCCAAGCTGTGCAGCTGTCAATGCCTTTGCAAGGCCCTCTTCACTCGAAGCCAGCATGCAGCAATCCTTGTAGTACTTCCCCGACATCAGCTCCAGGAGCAAATCCAAAAGCATGCCAATGGCTTTGTTGAAACCCTCTTTAACAGCTCCAATCTTGGACTGCGGAACAGGGCGCTCCACGTCCTCTGGGTCCTCGCCGGCCATGTCGTCCTCTCCAGCAGCCCCTTGATCAGCATCAGCATGGCAGAGATATTTCTCCCAACATGTGGAAGGGCAACGGAGTTCAGCCAAAATCCCTGTCAGCTTAACCTTGTCCCGCTCAGGCAACTTGTTCGCCAGCTTTGCTGCATAATCGAAGACCTCTGTCAGTGTTCAAGCTGCCGATGACTTGCAACACTCCGCAAAAAAAAATACACACGCTAGTCAGAATAGTTACAATGCCTGCACCACCAGCATGCGCGACAACCAAAAGCCAGCATCGCCTGTCTTCCGGTCTCGATCCAGAACCTTCTCGGTGCATTTAGCTGGCGTGACCATGTTCATGCGCAGGGCCAGCGTCAAGGAGTCGATCATCCAGGCCGTCAGGTCTACAGCGTTTCTGGTAGCAGATGCGAGCTTGTTGGTCAGCGATAACAGCTTGCTCAACTTCGAGTACTGACTGCTCAAGATTCCCCGCCCAAATTCCAGCTCCAATCTCCGGGCAGCCTTCTCCACGGGACCGGATGGACCCCGCAGCACTGCAACAGCTGCTGTGGCAGCCTGGTGTAAGGCCTTGTTGTACAAGGTGTTGTTGTACCTCAAGTTCTGTTCCTCACCATCCTGGACTTTTTCGACCTTGAGCAGCTGGACAGTCTTTGCAAATGTCCAAAAGGTGTCGGACAGGCCAGGGTGCCCGAGTGCCTTGACTTTCTCTGAAGCAAGATTGCGACTCTTCGCAATCTCCCCTGCGCTGGAACACAAGCGAACCTGTATCGTGACAGTGCAGCCACACTCCCACAAAATCTCCAAAACTGCTTTGTCCTGCCAAGTGCAAGCACACATCAGTCAGATGAATCAATAACATGTCATGTCATGTGAACACAAGCAGCAACTGTCCTGGGAGACTAGGGCTTTTAAGACGGCCAAGTACCAAGCCCACAACACAAACACGCCGCTAGCAAGATGCAACGAGCTGTTGAACTCTTCGTGAATCACGTCAGATGCTGACTCCGTGAGGACAATCATCTCACAAGGCCACGTCAGCCGGGTTCGTGACGTTTTTTGTTTCTTCTTGGCAGCTTCACGCGATACAACTGTGCTGAAAGCAACTTTCTTGGAGAAGAAAGCGTCTTCGAAAGTTTGGAGATCCTGCCAGCACACAGCCTCAGACGCACTGGCAAAAGCTTCGGTGGCCAGCCACAGCGCGAGGCCACTGGCTTCGTAAAGTCCAGATGATGTCAGGGACGCTTGGCAGTCATCTTTGCTCCACACAGCCTGACAAACGACAACGGTCAAACAATAATAAATGACATTGATCGACATGCGCCCGCCTTGTATCCGGTCAAATCCCCCATCTTGCCTTCTGCGTTGATGGCAAGCGGCGGTGTCTTGAACATCTGCTTGGCCTGCGGAAACTTCAGAGGGAGCTGGCTGCGGACCTCGGGCAGGCACGGCATGCCGCACTGTTAGCCGCGAGACGGGACACGGTATCAAGAACTCAGCGAAGGGCCCATGGCACGATGTTTGCCAGGGCTTCTTGAGCACTGGCCTGCTTCACATGGCGTGCCACACATCATCATCACACACGTCATACTGCTCCAAAAATGCTGAGCTCAGAACGGTTGGGTCGGTGGGCAAATCCGGCACTTTTGCCATTGAGCGCGAGTACAGAAGCCTGGGAACCTGGGAGCCGAGTAGCCCTCCACGGAACCGTTTGGAGTCTTGCGGTGCAGCGCAAGGCAATAAGACTGCTGCAGTGCAGGACATGCTGCAAACAAACACAAACTGACGTCGACAGCGGTCCTTTGTAGTCGTGGGCCCTGCCACAGTTTGTCGACGAGCGGCTTGAGCTTTACATGTCCATTTAAATCAAGTTGGCAGCAAAGTAAGGAAGCATCAAAATCCTACTATGCTGCTGATGAGTCATCTAAACATGACGACACCAAGCCGGCGCCACATGGACCTTGGAGCCTGGGAGCCTAGGAGCCTGGGAGACGCCTCAGCTGGGCATCAACGGCAGCGAGGGCATCCTGGTCGCGGCGGGGCTGCTTGTTGGAGACGTCCACCTGTTCCTTCAAGCGCCGTTTGTGCTCCACCAGCTTGGAGCGCTGAGCCTCAAGGAGAATGTCTGAGTGCTTCCTGGGGTTGCTAATGCTCACGATGACCATCTCGATCCCGGACCTGCGTACCTTCAAGTTGCCGGTGCGGATCCGCTCTGCCAGGTCATTGCCCTTGAGCATCCAGAAGTACCCCATGGGATGGAGAACCGGCGGTGACTGGTTGATGACGCCCTCGCAGCTGAACTCGAGCATGTCCATTTCGAGCTGCTTGAGGGCAAAAAAACCCAACGTGGCCGCTGCGTGCGTGGACGAAGAAACTGGGAACAGGGATGCACCGGGATCCGGAAGGAACGGATCCCCCTGCGCAGCGAACACGTGGTTCCGGGCCAAGAAGTTCACGAGGGCAGATGTGTCCTCCTTGCTAATGTCGAAGCCGCCGCCGCCGCCGCCTTCCTCCGACTTGACCGCCGTGTAGCACATGAAGCCCAAACCCCCGCCAAGGTCGGGCCCGGGTGCAAGGGTCTGCCAGGCGCGGCTGGTCGTGGCCTGCACCATGACGTGCCTTGATCGGACGCAATACCCTGGACCCCTAAACCCCTAAACCCCTGAACCCTTGAACCCCTGAACCTCTGAACCCCTGAGCCTATAATTAATATAAAATTAAATAACAATAAATGAAAAGACTTCCTGGCGTCCGATGTACTCGAATTCATGGCTCCAGTTCGCCTCGTCGTGGAAAGGCAGCTCCTGGCAAGGATCCGAGAACAGCGGAACATAGTAGCCGCCATCCTCCACCACAATGTCTCTTGCAGAGCACGCTTCGGCCAGATTTTTCTTGGTGAACAGTGTGAGAACCACGAACTGGGTCTCCCCAATGGCTTCTGTCAGCTGGCGGCGCGATGAGCGCAGCTTCGCCTTCACAGGCTTGTCTGCAGCAGACGGGGCCGCCCCCAACTTGCGCATGGCTTCCTTGCGCTGCCATGTGATGGCGTCCAGTTTCGTCGCCAGAAACAAGGCACGGAAGCCGATCTCCGGTGACTCGTAACAGGAATCCTTCTCAAACTCGGAAGCCGCCTCCACACTCTTCTCGTAGTCACTTGCCCTCAGCGCACAGTAGCCGAGACGCGACCAAGATCTCTGAGACTGAGTCTCTATCACTGGGTTCTCCTCCGGCTCGGCGATGATGGTGGGTGCCATATCTGCGGCGGCTGCTTTAGGATCGGCTGCGGCCATTTTCGCAGGCGGCATTGGGACCTAGTAGCCTATGTGAGCCAGGGAGCCTTGGAGCCTGTTGCCGCAGAAGCCTCGTATCAGATGCTGATAGTGACATGGCAAGACTGACACAACACACTGTCGCATGCAACTGTCATGTTCTGACAACTCCGCCACACAGCCAACCATGACTGAAATGAAACGACTTTGGGCCTGCCCCTCGACGTCCAGCTTGTCGACGACAACAGCCTCAGACAATGCAGTGACAAGTGACATGTGCATTGAAGGGTCATTTGCGTGCATTGAAGGGTCATTCGTGTGCATTGAAGGGTGACAGGTGCTTCTTTCATCATTAAGGCACTGCTAACGTGACCCTTGGATGCACTCAAAACACCCTTGGATGCATGGAACAAGAGCTGCCGGGACCCTTGGATGCATCCAAAACACCCTTGGATGTAGCGCCGCGGCGATTGGCGCGAATCCTGCCTGTATTGAAATGAAAGAGGAAGGCTATTGCAAGGGACAAATGGAACGTCAATACACCAGGGATTGGCACCAATCCATGGTGTATTGCATCCTACCATTGTCCTGCAATTAAACAACTGCAGGGGAAGTGAATTGCAAGGCCGTTTTGTCCTGCCAATACGCCCCGGATTGGCACCAATCTGCAGTGTATTGAGCAGGGGCTTGCAACAGGCTCTGTTGCAGGCACTTGCTGCCCCAGACAAGGTTAACCCTGCCTTGCGACACAGGCCCCCTGTACATTCCTGTGCGAACGACTAGACTTAAAATGATTCGACCCCAGGAAAATTCCTGCCTGCGAACCTGGGAGCCAAGGAGCCAAAGAGCACTGTCATTAACTGCTGCAGTACAGGACTATGACGCACGAACTTTCTTGGGTTTCTTGGGGGGCAAATGCCTCATCTGTACACCAGCACCGGACAATGTCCGCTTCTGGGACAACCCGCGGACGGCGGAGGAAATTCCAGATATCGGCCTCTCCATTGATCTTGTAGGTGGTGCGCCTCTTGGTAGCAAATTGAGTGGGCAGTGGTGTGCCGATAGCAACACGCCACTTCGACTGGGGCAACTTCTCACAGAATCGCAGGGCCTCGACGATGGCACGGGTCCTGACTGATTGTATTAAATTGAACCCAAACCCAACCCTAGACAATAAACCCTTCAACCCGAAACCCTTGAACCTCAGTGTCTGTGCCACCGAGCGACAGTTGACAGCTCTTGGCGATCTCAAGGCCGACCAGCCTCGAAGTTGCAGCTGTGTTGAAGGACAAGAACGACTTCTCAGCATCAATTGTCGGATTGTCCAAGTATGCCAGAATCGCCGCCCTGGAGGCAAGCACTTTGCCACAGCCGTACGCAATGATCAAGGCAGGAACCTGGGATGAAACACGTCAACGTGTACCAGCAGTGACGATCTAAGCCTGGCATCATCCGACTTTTAAACATTTTAATTAAAAGCTTGGGACCAGTCGGTCGCTGCGGACCGTCTCCACATCGGACAGTTGTTCGAGGACCAGGATATCGGCGGATTCATACTCGTACGGTCCAAGAATCTGGAAATGCTTGTTGCCTTGCAGCGACTTGCTGTCCGTGTAGCGACGATAGACCGGACATAGCTTCAGAGCTCGTTTGCGGGGATGCTTTGCAAGACGGATGACCGATCCTTCTCGTGGCCGTGCTGCACCATGCGCAAACCGCCAAGCCGTGCCGCCGTTGTTGTGTAAGCAATCTTGCCAGAGGATCGTCTCCGCGCTTCCTCTTGGTGACCTTGGCTGGCTGACAATGACAATGTGTATGACACTTCAAATGACTTAGCACGGAAAGCAACCGTTGTGCTGCTGAGTCACCGTCATATTTCTGCTGTGTGCGTGCACGGAAATTCTCCAAATGCTTGAGGGCATCTGGTGTGGGGCGGGCGAAAGCCCAACGTGTGCCAGCAACGCTGTTCTGGGCAGAGGCAGACGCTGCCGGCAAAGGCAGGCTCAAGCCCGGCACGAAAGAGGCCGGCTTCCACGACCTGCCTTTCGAAGCAGCTGCCTCTGCTCTCTTCGCTGCCTCGGCGGCGGCTGCTTCACGGCCTCTGACAATTGCAGCCAGAGTTCCAGAACGTGCCTGGCGTGGCTTGCTGGGCCCCTGCTTTCGTTCTTTGTTGTAGGTCATGCGGAACCGACGCCCAAAGTGACGAATCCACAGTTCACCACAAAGAACCCCGAAGTCAGTTGGGGTCAGCACGGCACCTTCGCTCTCCGGCTTCCGGAAAAATTCTTCCTCTCGCTGGGGACCTTCAACTGCCACCTCGAGGATGGAGGCAATGGTTGAGCCATTTGGGGTGAGGGGTCCGGAATGCGCCTCCAGCTGTGTGAGCAAGTGTCCCAAATCCCTTTCCAGCGTGGTCGTGTTGATCTTCAAGGACAAGAAGAAAGCAAGGAGGGCATGACAATCCTCTGTCCATGGAAGTTTGTGTGCATGCCGTGCACGCCACGCTGGCCGAAGCAACCAAGACCACGCATGTTTGTTCCCGAAGCCTGGGTCCTTTGACTTAGCTGCTTCTAGAAGAGGATGCAATTTGCGAGCAAATCGTCCAAACAGCACGGCTGTGCCGTGCGAAAGCTTGAGCATATCACAGAGCTTGCGTGTAGAGTCCACTAGCTCCTGTTGTCGGTTCGTCTCCTGCCACAGCCGAAGGTTGAATACCTGCAGAGCCACGGCGATCTAATCCTCCGTCAGATCTACTCGCAAACGCTCCAGCATCGCCTCGACCACGTGCGCCATAGTTCCCATGATCTGCCTTACATCAGAAATGCCGGCCTTCGTGCACAGGTAGTGGACTCTGTTGCCATAGAAGATCCTAGGTTTGCCACGGAGGGCATACCAGCGAAGCCTACTGGAACACAACCGCTATGACGACGACAAACTTGCAGGGTAGTTGCGGCTCTGGTGTCTGGATCTCCTCGTAAACTAACTGGGTTGCACACCTCCGGGGAGCCTGGGAGCCTGGAGCCTCGGAGCCGTCCACGGAACTGGGAACCTGCGAGCTGTCGGAGAGGATGTATCCATCCACAAATAAGAACCGCTGGCGCTTGGTGAACTCTTCCAGCACTCTGGGGGTGCAGGATACATCTGGATCCTCGATGTCAAAGTTCCTGCGCAAGAAACCCAGGCACTCAGATGTGTAGTCGCAAGTGAGTCCACAGCGCATGAGGGATGCTGCATTCATGTTTTGCAAGGCGCGCTCTGCTCGGGAGCGAATCTCGACCGTGTTTCTCTCCTGTGTGTCATACAACGGACATTTCAACATACATGACATACATGCGTAGAGTACATACATACTATTACATTTACATACATACATGCATACATACTATATACATAATACTTACATACATTAAATTACATACATACATACATACATACATACATACATACATACATACAAACATACAAACATACAAACATACATACTATACATACATAACATACTACGATACATACACACATACATACAAACATTCAATGTTTAAAATAATTTAATTTATTAATATTAAATTAGTTCATACTCAGTCATACAATACAATACATACATACATACATACATACATACATACATACATGCCATACATACATACATACATACATACACACATACATACATACATACTATACATACATACATACATACATACATCATACATACATACATACATACATACATACATACATACATACATACTATACATACATACATACATACATACATTGTATTATGTTAGTAATAATATGTCTAATAATACCTACATGCATACATACATACATACATACAATGCCAATACAATACATACATACATACATACATACATACATACGTATCATACATACATACATACATACATACATACAAACATACATACATACATACATAATACATACACACATACATACTTTAAATTTCTTAACGCTACACATACATACATACATACTACATACATACATACATACCTACATACATACGTACATACATAAATACTTACATCCATGCTTTACTTACATAATACATACTACATACATACATGCATACATACATACTCATACATAATACTTACATACATACATACATACATACATACGTACATGCCATACATACATACATACATACAATTCAATTTAGATACTACACATTGAAAGTGAATTACCATGCATTAATACATACATACATACATACATACATACATACATACATACTACATATCGTATACATAATACTAAGACTACATACTTAGTTATTATTGAATAAAAGTTAATATATTATAAAATTAATTAAATAGTTATTAATCATTGTCATTTATTAATTTAAATTTTATTATTATTAAATTATTAAAATAAAAATTACGTACATACATACATCCGCACATACATGCATTAATACAATCCATACTAAGACTAAGATTTAATACACAATTAATTAAATTAAAATAAATAATAATTATTGAATTTAATAATTTTAAAATTTGTTTGACATAAGGACAAGACTCGTCAGCAGCCTGCATAGCACATAAGACCGCCATCGCACGAATCATGCACAAGTACTTCAGCATTGGTGTGGCCGACGAGTCAAACCGAGGTTGGGAGAACGACAACGCTCGTATCACCTTCTCCACACCAGCCTGGGAGCCATGGAGCCTGAGAACCTCTTGCTGGGCCGCCATGAGCCTGGCCTTCCAGACTTCTGAGTTCTGGATGTCCGGGATAAGCGCATGCTTGCCCTTGCCGGGAGCAAACAAACGCTCCCACTGGTCTTGGAACTCGGGCATGGCGTGAAGAGGGTCCTGGTAGGCAATACGAACCTGGTGCGCAGGATCATGGCTTACCCAGACCAGGTTAGGATACTGGCCGCCAGTGACCAACAACCTTCCACACTTCCGGGCAGATGTGCACTGATCGGCTGCAAAGTGCCGCGCGTGCAGCTTCAAGCGGCTGCAGGACTCCTCGTCAGTTTTGCCTTCCGGATCCTGACAGGCCCTGTCAATGACTATGCCTATGCTGTCTGCCATCACCTGACTCTTGTCCGCATCGTGCTCCTCCACTGTGTTTTCAGGAACACTGGCACCTGTCTTGTAGACCCCAAGCAAGCCATCGGCGACAAGCGGGCCATCCTCCGAGCCTTGGGAGCCTTGGGAGCCTTGGGGACCTTGGTAGCCTGGAGCCGCTGACTGCTTGGCAGTGCGCGGTGGAACATCGCAACGGTACCTCACCAAACGATACTCCTTGCGGTCGTCCACGGACAAGCTGATGCTGGTGGCTTGTTCGAGACGCTGCTTGCGCACACTCTTGACAGCCCAGTGCATAACAAGAATCATGTTCTTGAGACCTCAGATGATTAATTAAATTATTTGTCAAATTTTAAATTTAAATGTGCCAAAATAAAATGTCAACAATCTGAAACCTTAGGCCTTTTAAAGTGCTGCATCCTGGCTCACACTGCCAAGCTTCGTGTTCCTGCCAGCAGCGAAGTCTTCCGTGGAATAGAATTTCACGGCACCTTTGAAAGAAGATGCTGTCCGGCACGCCCGCCACGCTCGCAGCCAATCTGCCGGCTGAGGAACGTTGCCGGAGAAGAGGTGCTGATGCTTGATGCTGTAAGGCAAGCACTGTGAGATCGGCGTGTCAGGAGCTAGGTAAACCTTCGTGGCCACCTGGTGAGCGAAGGTCTTGCTGTGAGCGTGTATGCAGCATGCCTGCATCGCACTCCTGCCAAAGTCTGCGACTGATGCCTTAAATCACAGCTGACAACGACAACATGATGCGGTCCTTGATCGGACCTCATAGGCACCCCACTTGGTAGAGAGGCGACTGCCCAGCCTTAGGCATTTAGGGCTGCGAAAGTTGGGCTGGTCACGGTCAGCCTTAATTTGATCACAAAGGGGCTATCCGCTCGCACTACACTGCACAATTCGGCCGTACTGCAACCTCTTCCGCTCTGCTGGGTTCTGTGCCAAAACATTCATCAAGTGTGCACAAAAGTGACAGCCGATGCCCCAATCGCCTCCTCGGCGAGCTGGTCTCTGGCCCACCCAAACTGTCCGCTGCTGCTTGCCCCAAGACGTGTGGGTGAGGCTTCCGGCTTTGCTCCAAACTTCCTGGAAGCGAAGGAACCTGACTGACATGTTGGGATTGTATGCAAACGGACGAGATCAAGTCGAGAATGCCGGAAGCAAGAACCAACAAGCAACTGCAACATAGTCAAGTAGCAAGTCTGCCACAAACAATAACGATCCAACAGAGAGAGAGAGAGAGAGAGAGAGAGAGAGAGAGAGAGAGAGAGCGAGAGAGAGAGAAAGAGAAACAGAGCAAGAAAGAAAGAGAGCGAGAGAGAGAGAGAGAGAGATTGATTGATTGGATGAGAGAGCGAGAGAGAGAGAGAGAGAGAGAGAGAGAGAGAGAGAGAGAGAGAGAGAGAGAGAGAGAGAGAGAGAGAGAGAGAGAGAAAAAGAGAGAGAGAGAGAGAGAGAGAGAGACGGAGAGCACGAGAAAGAGAGAGAGAGAGAGAGAGAGAGTGAGAGAGAGAGAGCGAGAGAGATAGAGAGAGAACGAGAGAAAGAGAGAGAGAGAGAGACAGAGAGAGAGAGAGAGAGAGAGGGAGAGAGAGAGAGAGAGAGAGAGAGAGAGAGAGAGAGAGAGAGAGAGAGAGAGAGAGAGAGAGAGCCACCGAGAGAGAGAGAGAGAGAGAGAGAGAGAAACACGACAGCAAGATGATAAAGAACCAAAATGAAAAAATAGATTGACATGTAATGTGTATGCATGCATGGCAGGCATGTAAGTATGTATGTATGTAGTATGTCTAGTTGCCCGGTTCAGAAACCCTATTAATAATAAGACCATTTATGATTTAAATTTCTTTAAATATTAAATAAAATTATAAATTAAATAATAATTAATTTAAATTAAAATTAGGGTTTCTGAACCGGGCAGCTTGCATCGGCTGCATTTCTCGTCGCCACCACGATGGCGAGCCAAATGCTCTGCATCGCTCTCAGTCGCGAGACCAACATCGCCACATCCCTTTCCGGTGTCGTCGTCGCCCTCCTGAGCCAGGCCTTCGGCGGACTCGAGCCGAAGCTTCTTCGGGGCCGCAGGCACGGATCCTTGTGGACCTCGTCTTTTTTTTGTCGGCGTCCGGTCCTGCTTCCGGGAGCGTAGTCCGAACCGCGCGGCAAGACCACGCAGGGTGCGGCTACCCACTGGCATTGAAATCCTGGGGGCCTTGGAGCCTTGAGCCTGGGAGCCTGAAGCGACCGCGCAGCACTTACGATGACAAGCAAACGCAACCGTGGCAACCGTGCTACGACTGGAACTGAATCAGACTCTGCAACTGGTCCAACCGACTCCGACTAACCCGAGAACCGCGCCTCCAGCTTCCCGTTCGATCCGACAGCGAGCAGCTGCCTGGCAGACGTGAGGGTATTACCCCGAGTCAAGCAGCCCGAATGGCACAACACTGCGAACTCCTATGCACACTGCGGCGGTTTGTTTCACTGGGAGTCGGCAGGGTGACCCAGTCCAAATAATCTGTACTGCTCGGAGCAGGCTTTCCCGAATTTTGCACCCGGCCTCACCTAAGTCAGTCTATGATGCCAACTCCGAGTGGCCAAATTAGAAAACGCATGCCATTCTCCGTCATAATATGACGAATTAATGACTACTACTTTGCCCAGCGATGGGCAAGACGGGACGCCAATGTGGCCGTGGCACCCTTCCTCGAGCACTTCTTTGCTGCCTGCGGTCTCAAGACTTTCTGCCAACGCTTTGCCAACGCTGACATGCCTTCAGCCTTCTGAGCCTTTGGAGCCTTTGGTGCCTTTGGAGGCTTCTGCGCCGATGCAGCCTTTCGCGCCTTGGGAGCCTTCCGTGGCTTGCCATGGCGCTTGCGGCATTTCGCTGCTGCGCCGAGCACAACTGAAGCAGTTATGCTTGGCGCAGCAACGGTGCTGCACAAGGCTGTCGGCCGGGAAGCTTTGGGCAGGCTCCAGTTTACCAACGCAAGCGCAAACTTCATTGCCACGGCTACAATCTGCACATGCATCGTGTTGCCGCCCATGCTGGCGAGCTCCTTGTCGGTCACTTTGCTGGGAAAAACCATACGGTGAATTGGAAAACCGTGCAGCATGACTTTTTCAAGCGGGCTAATGATCCTTCCAGCTCGTTCGGATACCAGTACGGCCCCAGGTGTAACAGTAGGCAGGGAGCCATCGGTCCGCACCCGGGCTCGGTTCACATTCTGGGATACATCCGCGACAAGCTCCTTACTGCCTGCATGCTTTGTGCAAATGATGTCCCCGGCATCACGCTCACGCGGCAAATGCAGGAACAACGTGTCTGCGCAGCAGGCGACTCCGCTCTCAGTGCAAGGCCTCCGACTCTCACTCTTCAACCGGCTGCCCTGCTGCATTGAAGCTTTGCACATCTTGTGCAATTCTTTCCACTTTGGAGCATGGGAGCCTGGAGCCTGGGAGCCTGGGAGCCTGGGAACCCACGGTTGGAAGCTTGCGACCACTTCCGTTTGCGGCTTTCCTGGTACTGTGCCACAGCAGGGTGGCTCGCCGGTAGCAGTCTATCCAAAAGATCGACTGCGTCTCCGGAAGCAACTGAATCCTGGACTTCCGCCCAAGCCTCACGAAGCCAGCACGACATGTCCTTTGGCGAGATGAGGCTCACATCTTGCCGGACCCCGATGAAGTAGTACCTAGGCCTCTGGATGGGCTCCTGTAGCTCGGCAGGGTTCATCAAAATCATTTCGACATGATAGCCTGTGGACCTGAGTGCCGCCAGAACCTTTGCAGAAACACGCTTGATGCCTGACACATTCTCCAGCACGAAGCACGAGGGCCGCACAAGTTGGATGCGTGCAACGACCCCATAGAATATTTGAGCCTGTTTTTCCTTGATGAGCCTTGACTTATTGTGGAGCAGGCTGAACGGCTTGCAGCTGAAGCCGGCAATGTACAGGTGAACGAACGGTGCCTTGTCAGCATCCAGGACACTGTGGAACAGTACCGAGGGCTTGGTATTAGCCTCGATAACCGACCGCGGACCAGCAGCCACCTCACTCCCAAACAAATGCTGGTGCGTGATGCCGAGCTCCCTAAGGCCATGGATCGGTGCATCAATGCCACTGCAATCAGTTCCCACCAACAATCTTTGTGGAAGTTTGGCCGCCCCGAGACCACAACGGGCATGAGTGGCACCGATGCTGGCCTCGGTGGCACTCTGAAAGCCGGACCCCCAGCCGTCCAGCCACTGCCTCAAAGTGCCTGGAATCATGGCGGCAGCGACTCTACTGGGCCTTGGAGCCTGAGCGCCTGGGTGCCTGGGTGCCTGGAGCCTTGAATGCAACGGTAACGTTTAAATTGCTGCACTTGCTGACAACTTCAAACTTCGCGACGAGTGACTGGCACTGGGACAGAAGCAACGGCGATGATCCCACCAGACCAGTACCCCTCAATGACCCTTGGATGCACACAAAACACCCTTAGATGCAGTGCCTGGCCTGATCGTTGCATACAAGGGTCATCCGGGTGCATTGAAGGGTCCTTTCAAGTTTTGGTGTGTGCTTTGCTGAAGGAATACAGGTGGTACAGGGTGGGGTTTAGGATAAAGGTGGCTTGGTGTCGAGGGTTTCGAGTGTAACCTGGGTTTCAGCAATTGACCCTTGGATGCACACAAAACACCCTTAGATGCAGTGCCTGGCCTGATCGTTGCATCCAAGGGTCATCCGGGGGCATTGAAGGGTCCTGTCAAGTTTTGGTGTGTGCTTTGCTTAAGGAATTTACAGGGTGTACAGGGGGGCTTTAAGGATTTAGGTGGTTTGGTAACGAGGGTTTCGAGTGTAACCTGGGTTTCAACTATCATCGACGAACAACAATGACGAGTTTGAAGACTTGTATCAATCTTTGTGGAAGCTTGGTCGCCCCGAGACCAAAACGGGCTGGCATCGGTGGCACTCTGAAAGCCCGAACCCCAGCCATCCAGCCACTGCCTCAAAGTGCCTGGAGACGCACGGAGGGCTGGTAGACATGCAGCCTCAGGGGCTTGGAGCCTGAGAGCCTGAGAGCCTGGGCGTCTGGGGGCCTGGGGGCCTGGGGGCCTGGGGGCCTGGAGCCTTGAATGCAAAGCTTGTGCACTTGCACAACTTCAGACTTCGCGACGAGTGACTGGCACTGGGACAGGAGCAAAGCCGATGATCCGACCAGTAGAGCCTCCCCCTCATTGCAGGAACAATCTGACGGGACAACAGGATCCCTGGCCCAGATTTTGCCCCAGCTGGCGCATTAGCCCATTGGCCCAGCTGTCATCTGCCACTGCCTTGGCAGGTTGGCCTCAAGGCTGTTCCTGCGGCCCGACACCCGGCCAACGGTGCCCACAGTGACGTAACGGCAGCATACACTGTGTGGGTAAGGCCAAAATGCACACTCTATTAGGCCTTGGAGCCTGAGAGCCTGGGTGCCTTGGTGCCTGGAGCCTTGAATACAACGTTTAAGTTGAATGCAGCACTTGCTGACAACTTCAAACTTCGCGACGAGTGACTGGCACTGGGACAGAAGCAAAGGCGATGATCCCACCAGACCAGTACCCCTCAATGACCCTTGGATGCACACAAAACACCCTTAGATGCAGTGCCTGGCCTGATCGTTGCATCCAAGGGTCATCCGGGTGCATTGAAGGGTCCTGTCAAGTTTTGGTGTGT